CCCCAAAACCCCAAAACCCCAAAACCCCGTTTGCTTATATAATCATAGAGTTTTCGAATTAAGACTAAAACATTATTTATTATTTCAAGAGTGAAGATTGATTTATCATCTTTTGTTTTGAAACATATGACCAGTAGTATTAGTGTTGCTAGAATTAGATGCTAGTTTGAATATCGGTTCTTTTTTCCTAATCTCTAAATTGTGATTAATTTTGTTAACAGCTATTTGGAACATCTATACTCGATTGAGTAGTTCTAAGCTAGGATCTATTTCATCACCTCCGTTCTAAGCTTAAAGATTGCCCAGACTAGGCTTTTAAGTCAGATAAGAATTTAGTCTTGGTTTTCTATTATTAACCATGGCAGTCTAAGCTGTCTCTCTCTAGGTAGAAGCGAATTCATTATTATTATTAAATCTTTTTCTAAAACCAGGCTATGCACTCTAAGCAGCTGTACTCAGGGACCCATAACTTTATTTATCGTTGCCACCAAAGATAGCTCTAACTTTGCCCTCTGATGGGTTTGGAATTAGTTGCTGAACCAAAGCAGATCTCGTGTAAAATTTGTTTCTAATTTTAGGCAGAGTTGAAGTTTTAGATTTCTATTTGAAAATGAATACAAATTATTGATCTTACCTCATATTTTATATTTATTGCTTCCATACCTGATTCTAAGAAACTAAATCTGCTATAATAAAGGTTAGGGTCGAGAATATGTGTGATGACATCATTAATTAGTTTCATTGCAATCTATATAAGTATTGAGGATAAATTTAATATTATACTTTCTCATGATTTAACTTGCTGAAAAATTCAGAGTAGCTATTTTTAAATATCAATTCGATTTCGATTCTGACAGCTAGTATAATCATAGGCATGATAAAAGTGGAGAACACTCGCTTCCCTGTATATTTACTCTCTAACTCTGATTAAGTTTAAGCTATTGATATAAACAGTAATTTTTTGTGATAGGAATCTAGAGGGAGTTAATTAATGTGGCCAAAGACACTCCAATAGACCAGATGACTAGCAAGACCAATGAGTCTAGCTATCTTTTCACTCTAAATCTCTTTCAGTGATTTCATAATATCTTCGAAGTTAAGATTAGGCTTATTCTGCTCTAAGGCAAGATTGTTCTTTTTCAACTGTGCATTTTACAGAAGTGAGAAAGCAGATTGTTTCTGGATGATTGTGTTATTGTTTTAAGTCCCAGATGCATTAATCTAAGCAGAGGATTTAGTCTTTTTATAGTTATGAATCACATCATTGATTTCCTTACCCTCTGTGATGTGGGGAATGACTTTGATTGGGAAATCCTTTGTGTACTTAAACATGTCCATGATGATTTATTCGATTGTTATCTGGATAGGAGCTTGCAATTCAGACAAGTATTCCTCCTTGTTTTAAATCTAACTAAGTGGAAACTAAAGTGCGTTAGTTTCTAATATATTAAAGTTCTTAGTTTTTCCAAGTTTTTCCATAATCTTTTATTGCTGTGCGATATCGTCTGCACTTACTTACCCAACAGATGACTCATTTAGCTTTAATGGACCAGTATCAAGAGCATAGGGATACAGGAATTTCTTCTTCCAATAGTCCAGATCTAGATTCATTTCGTTTTTCTTTTTGGATTCAATATCTCTTTTGAGAGTCTCGACGTTTTGATCTTGGCGCTTCTTGATCCACTGGTTGTACTTTTTAATGGACTCATCATGAAACTACTGAAAACGGTTCACATTCATTTCATAGATTGACATTGCTTTCTGCTTTGCATTGGCCACATTGTTCAGAGAGTCTTTGTTTTCCTTCTGATCTTGATTCAGTTATGGGTTAAGAAGCATTGACGCCAATGGGTCTATTTCATTAGTGCTGTTTAGATTATTATTTTTGTTTTATTGTTCTTTCATCTGCAATATTGCTTCTCGATTGTTTTCAAATGATTATTTCTTGACTTTATTTGGATAGATGTAAAGTATATCAGCAAGCCATCCACTGTTATTCCACCCAGGAGAGAATTCACATGAACTCAGAGGTGCGGTCTTGAGTAAATTGGCTATATTTTTGCTATTAGGCTCAATGCCAATCTGCTCCAAGTACCTAACTGCATATTCATACTGTATCACTTTCACAAAGTTATCATCTAGTTCTTCTGGTTGCTATATTTATATTTCAAATTGCTTATTATAATTACGCCTGTGCCTCCTTTTAGAGGAATGGCAATGACTATTTCCTTGTTCTCCTGTTTCTTGTTGAACCGCTGGACTGGAGGAACCTTGAGTTTTTTCATAAATTCTTCGTAGAGTCTTGTTCCCATTAAAATAAAATATTGAATTTATAATTTATTATAATTCAGGCTCATACTCTTAATTTAAGAAATATCACAATGGCTATTTAACTCATATTAAATTAATAAGCTCATTATTATCATTTGCAGCTGCAACTTATATTGATGTTCAAGAGTATGATGATAAGATCCACTTTTATTTATCCTTGATGACAGCTACGCAGCCTTCGCTGTCCTTGTCGGAGTTCATGCAGCAGGACCAGCACTCCTCATTGTCCACTCTGTTCATCTCCCACTTTCCATTGTGATAGTACTTTCTTTACTTAGTGTTCCTCAGAGTCTTTGTCATATCTGGCTACAAAGTAAGTTAAGGGTCTTCTGGCTCCTGTGCTATATGCTATGCCACATACATCTTTTTAAATACAATGGCTTCAACTCTCTCCTTGGTCGCTCTTGGCATCTCATAGAGAGTTTACTTCATAAAAGTATCTTTCATCTCTGACAAATCCTCCTTTTCCTTTCTCAAACTCTCATTGTATTCCTTTGTCAGCAAGTGTGGAGGCTTATACTTATCTTATACAAGTTTTTCATTCTTTATTTTAGTCTTTTATTGCATTACCTTAGTGCTATTAAGAGTTTAAATCATTAATGGTAATATACTCTTCTTATATCTTCTTATGCTAATGTCTAGGAATGGGAACATCAATGGATACATTCCAGTCGTCATGATAAATGTTACGAGTGTCAGTTCCAGCATAAACAAATGGATCCTTGGGTGATAGTATTTTCTCATCTTTTAATCCGAAACGCACCTATTCTCAATTGCTTCAAAATCTATCGTTACATTAAATAAGTTTTGAGAATGACTTTCTTGAGTCTTGTGGCCTACAGTGGCATTACTTAGATTCCACTCTGGCTTCTTAGTTGCCAGTATATCAGGATTTGTTAGTTCTTTCATCTCTTAAACTGCATTTCTCGCCTTAAATTATTCATATTTTAATCTAGTTTACCTGAGGAGCAATATCAGATGAATGAAAGAAATTTTAATCTTGAGGGTAATTCACCTTCCCATTCTTGATGCTTCCAATCTTTTTTGGCTTAGGAAGCGTGCCAGTAATTTACATCTACCCGCTTTTCAACAACTGGTCTTCATCCTAATAAAGTAATTAAATTCAGTCTTAAACTGTGGAAAAAATAATTTACATTAAGTGACTTGAGTCGTTGTTGAAGTATACTCTGGAGAAACATATTTTATTTTTTGATTATTTAATTTCAATATATTACTCTATTTAAAATTACTATCACTCCACGGGGTTTTGGGGTTTTGGGGTTTTGGGGTTTTGGGGTTTTGGGG